TATCAAGTTGTCTACCACAAAATGTCCAGTATTTGTATTTGTAGTTCTGTCTTCCTTTGCTCGCATAATTCTCTCCACTTCCTGATTATGTTTAAGATGGCTGCACTTCATCCTTTCTTCAGTCTAGGTAATTCCCCATGTGTGGATATATCTATCTTCTTGATCCAGCCATGCCTATTGTACTGTTAGGCTGCTCACATGTTGTAATGATTGCAAATATGCTGCTAAAACCATTGTGAAGATATGGGGGGGAGGGCTCTGCTGAAAGTTTCATATTCATGAATATATGCCCAATAGTGGAATTCTGTCCACTGGCATTGCATTTTAGATTTTAACCTAAATCCAGATAGCTTTCCATATTTTCACCAGTTCACATTCCAACAGTGTAAAAGTGTTCCCTCTCTCTACATCTGGTCCAGCACTATGTCGGGAGTCTGTCAAATATGTTTCATTCTCACAGGTGTGAAGTGGTATCTCATTGCAATTTTAATCTGAATATTTCCTATTAGAAGTGATGATGAACCTTTCTTCATGTATCTTTTGACCTTTGGATATCCTCTTCAGTGAAAGTCCATTCATATCTGCTGTCCATGTCTTAATTAGGTTTATATATTTATTCTTGAATTGCAGTCTCTGATAGATCATGGGTAGTACTCAATTATCAGCTATATAATTGTATGATGAATTTACCCCATTCAGTAGGGTGTCTTTTAATTGTCTTGTACTTTGTTTCCCAGATCAGAATTTTTAAACTGATGATAGTCCCAACTGTTTGTTTTATTTTTAACTCCTTCAGGAGTTAACTCACCAAATATATCTTCATTGCTGAAATCATGGAACACATCACCAATGATGCATTCTTCCTGGGCAGAACTTAGAGCTTTAACCTATTTGGAGTTTATTTTTGTGTGTGGAGTCAATGAGCAAACCAACTTCATACGTTTACGTGTGGCTTTCAATTACCCCATCACCATTTTTAAAGAGATTGTCATTTGGGGATCATTTTCAAAAAAATCCCTGGACTATGCCCACCAGACATGTTGGCTTCTTCAGTCTTGAGCTTTCTCTCTCTGTTGTGTAGTCAGAAGAGCCTGACAGTCAGTTCCTCCTTGGAGAATGAAAACAGACTGAGTCTGACAGAAGCTACCCCAAGCTCCCTATCACTGAGGCCTGCGGTTGTGTTCCCTAGTTTCTTTCTCTGACTAGAAGTCTTAAGGAGTGGCAGCCAGGCACCTCATAGATGGTGGCCATGTCCTTCCACAGCGGCACAGTTGGGACCCAGAGAGGAAGTAAGGAAGTAGATAAATCAGTAAACCCACAATTTCTAAAGCTCCAGAACAAAAAGTTCATAGAGTAACCCTGGTAGAAGCAAGAAGCACAAAGGAGAAAGTCAGAGCTCCACATTCTGTTCCTAAATTCATCGCTTTCTTGCCACATGGCTTGTACAAGTCATTCAACAATGAATTGGCTCTTGATTACAACGAGTTATAATTAATCATGCTACTGATTCTAAGCAATTATTAAAAATAATCACAGCAATTTATATATGTAAGAAAAAGAATAATAAAAGATGGATAGCTCTATCCCCTCATTTCTCCATAGGTCAATTAAATTTACAAAAAGATGCCTAAACTCCTACAAAGCATGGTCACTATCATCGACATCTTCTATGAATATGCCGGCCAAGATGGGGAGTGCGGCATGTTACAGGAGGAAGAAATGAAGGCACTTTTGGAAAATGAGTTTCATCAAATTATGAAGGTAATGACTCCATGTCAGGACTGAAGACAGCTGCAATTTTCTGCTCACCACTTCCTAACTTCTGGTCACATAACAAACTCCTAGACAATTCTCTGTACTTGTTACTCAGGAACAGGGTTTGGTAAAGGCATGAAATAAGGCAGGCATTCACTTGTAAGTTTTCTATAACCTGACCAAGGGAAGAGATCCTTGTAATCACCAGCTGAGATCCACAGACTGATTAATAACCTTTCTATGTGAGGGATTCCTATAGAACTGAAACTGAGACGGTCCTCAGAGAAACTGCAAGTGAAATGCATCTTGTTCTCTTTGTCTTTCTTCAACACAGAAAATCCTGGCCACTAAACAATTCGAGATTCTGGTACTGTAAGATGCTAAGAAGGGAATTAGCATATAACTTCGAAATCATAAAATAATCAGACTACCATCACAAAGATGTCAGCTCATAAAATGATAATTTGGGAACCTAGGTCTAGCTTTCAAACTTCAATTTTACAAACACAGCAGCCTGGTGATTATTTTTCTAGATTCCTATGGGTTTCTTAAGGTCAATGTATCAGATACAAAAATCATGATTTTCCCCCATGAACTCTTTGCTCCTGCTTGCCCAAGGCAGAAATCTGGTGCCTTTCTAATTCTTCTCTCAAAGCACCTCCTACTTCCATCTACTCATCAATAATCTCAAATGGGCGAATTTCACTCCATCACTATTGCTAGTCCTCTAGTTCAGGCCAACCCTTCTTCCATGTCAGCACTGGATACAAATATAATCATGTCAAAATTAAATACAAAATCTTTCAACAGCTTCCAGCTCTTCCAAGAAAAAGTTCAAAGTTCCTTTACAACACTTAAAAGACATATTTGCTCCCTATTCTTCTCTGCTGAGAATGAATTCAGCAAACATGAATAGCTTTCCGTTCCTGTATGCGCCTTCACTCCCCTCCAACTCATTGTCCACTTTCTCTCCTGAAAAAGTCTTTTGCACTCCTTTCCTTCACCCTTTCATTTGGGCAATTAAAACCCATCTTCAAGACAGATCACTTCCTCTATAACCCTCTTAAATGCCAGTGATAATCCCCTGGTGTGCTCTCATAGAACCATTAAAATTGCTAGTTACGGGCCTCCACAGTGGTGCAGCAGTTGAGCGCTGGGTTGCAAAGCGGCCCCCAGCCTCTGCAGCGCTGGTTCAATCCCCGGCCACCAGGTGAGGGTCCCACACGGCGCGCAAACATCTGTTCCTGCTGCTCCCATCAGCAGTGTACTATGTCAGTCTGCCTGCTCTGCTCTCTGCTCTAACTCTGGTGAATTCTCTCACCCTCCCGCACTTCTGACTATACCCAGTGCTTGTATACATAAATAAATAAATCTTTTGAAAATAAAAGTTAGTTACTAATACCATCTTCCAGTTACAACTTCTAGGCTTTTCTCATGGAATCATTCTTTGAATTCAATCTTTCTCATTCTAGAAAAAATAGGTAAATCCAGCCTAAAGGCCTATGTGGTAGAGCTCTACCTAACTAGGCAACTACTTCCATTGGTACAGCATTCTTTCAACTGGTTAGCTAGAGGAAGTCCATACTGACAGAACTGCCCTTTGTATCTTGTTCCCAACCAGAATCCAGATGATCCAGACACTGTAGACATCATCATGCAAAGCCTGGATCGAGACCGTAACAACAAAGTGGACTTTACTGAGTATCTTCTGATGATATTCAAGCTGGCACAGGCTTGTAATAATATCATCAGCAAAGATTGCTGCCAAGCTCCAGGGTCAAAACAGAGACACCACAGTCACTGGCAGCAAGGGGAACAGAGTGAAACAGAAGATGAGGACAAAACACAAAGAAGGTCTTCCACTCATTCAAGTTGTAATACAGGAGAGAGTGATTCCTATTCCAGGGGCTGCAGAGGGATCACTAAACACAGGCCTGGATCCAGCTGTGGAAGAAAGGAGCAGCAAAGAGACCGGTCTAGTTCTGGGAACAGGCAAAGCTCTGGGGAAAGGAGAGAGTCAAGCTCAGGACACCTCAAGGATAGTAGGAAAAACAAACATGGCTCTCATCAGCAAGGGTCTAGGAGTGAAGGAGTTGGTTATAATCATTCAAGCAACTGCAGAAAAAGATCAAACTCAGCAAATCAGTCAGAGAGTAGTGGAGAAGAAAGGAATGCATACCCTTCAGAGGATCAGTCTTATAGTTCCGACCAATACTGTTCTGACTCAAATGAATCCTCACGGGATAGACAACATAAGAAGAAATCAGGACAATCCCCTTGTAGGCAGCATCATGGATTTACCTCAGGGAGTTGTGGAGGACAAGACCACAGGTCAAGTTCAAATGAAACTACCAGTTGTGGTCAGGGGTCTGGCTCAGGTCAGTCCTCTCAGAGACGGCCAAAGTCAAATGCAGGATCACAATCAGGGAAAAGTGAAGAACAAGGATACTGTTCGAGTTCTAGTGAGAGTTGTGGAAAACATAGGCGTGAATCCAGTTCAAATATGCATTCAGGGAATGGGGGGAAACAACAAGGATCTGGCTCCTCCAAGTCCTCAAGTTGTGAACAATATGGGTCTCATTCAGGTCAGTCAGCACACTACGGATGTTCAAACTCCGGTCATTCTTCCGGTCAGAAGCAACACACATCCACTTCAAGTGCACAATCAGGACTTAACAGACAGCAAAAAGATGGTTGGGAATCAAGACGGTGTTCAAGCTCTGAAGAATATGGGTCTGAATCAGGCCAGTCCATAAGCAGTGGCAAAAATCAATCAAGTGTCTACAAGCCCTCTACTCAGAAAAAACACAGCACAAGTACTACTCATGGTGACCAAGAGTCTGGATCTAGAACATCTTCTAGCTGTGGCCAATGTGGTTCTGGCTCCAGTCATTCTATGCAGAAACACCATGAATCCAACTCAGGTGGCCAATCAAGTAGCTGCGGAAGACAACATGGTTCGGGAGTAGGACAATGCTCCAATTATGGAAAACACGGATCTGGCTCTAATCAATCTTCATCTCATAAAAAGCATGAGTCTAGTACAGGATCCAGTTTAGGTGACTCATCCAGCTGTGGAAAACATGCATCTGGGTCTGGTCAGTCTTCTGGCAATGGACAACATGGGTCCACTCAAGGACAACAAGGGTCTAGCTCAGGTCAGACATCGACCTGTGGCCAAAATGGAACTGCATTAGGCCAGGCCTCTAGTTCCACACCTGGACAGTCATCAAGCTCTGAACAACATGGACATAATACTGGTCAGTCTTCTGGATGTGCACGACAAGGGTCCAGACAGTCTATTAGCCATAGACAACAAGGCTCTGAATCACGTCAGACCTCCACTTGTGGACGACATGGTTCTGGATCAGGTCACTCTTCCAGCTGTGGCCAACATGGATCTAGCTCCAGTCAGTCTTCTCACTATGGACAACAAGGGCCCACTCAATCACCTAGTCAGAGAAAACACGGTTCTCGTTCACCTCAGTCGTCTGGCTCTGGACAACATGGATCTGGCTCAGGACACTGTTCCAACTGTGGCCAACAGGGATCCAGCTCTGGTCAGTCTTCTGGCTATGGACAACAGGAGTCAAGTCAGTCTTCGAGTCACAGGAGACGTGGGTCTAGTTCCAGTGAGACTTCTAGCTGTGGCCAGCATAGCTCTGGATCAGGTCAGTCCTCCACTTATGGACAACATGGCTCTGGATCAGGCAATTCATCAAGCCGTGGCCAACAGGGATCGAGCTCTAGTCAGTCTGCTGGCTATGGACAACAAGGGTCCACTCCATCTTCCAGTCACAGACAACAAAGCTCGGGTTCAGGTCAGTCCTCCAGTTCTGGTCAATGTGGGTCCAGCTCAGGTCAGTGTTCTAGAGGCAAGCAAGAAAGTTCGGGATCAGGTCAGTCTTCTAGCTGTGGCCAACATGGATCTGTATCTCGTGAGTCTGCTAGCTATGGCCAACATGGATCGACTCAGTCTTCAAGCCATAGACAACATAGCTCTGGTAATATTCAGTCCCCTAGTCCTGTTCAACATGGGTCTGCATCAGGTCAATCTTCCAGCTGTGGCCAACACAGCTTTAGCTCTGGTCAGTCTTCTGCCCCTCGTAAAAATGAGTCAAGTCAGTCTTCCAATTCTGGGCAAAACGGATCAAGTTCAGGTCAGTCTTCTAGCTGTGGGAAACATGGTTCTGCATCAGGCCATTCTTCTAGCTCTGGCCAAGACAAGTCAAGTCAGTCTTCAAGACATAGACTACATGGGTCTAGTTCAGGTCAGTCTACAAGCTGTGGCCAACATGGTTCTGGATCAGCACAGGCCTCCACTAATGGACAACATGGCTCTGGATCAGGCCATTCCTCTAGCTGTGGCCAACATGGATCTAGCTCTGGCCATGGTCAACATGAGTCAAGTCAGTCTTCGAGACATACGCGACAGGGGTCTAGTTCAGGTCAGTCTTCTACCTGTGGCCAACATGGTTCTGGATCGAGCCAATCGTCTACCTGTGGTCAAGACAAGTCAAGTCATACTTCCAGTAATAGGCAACATGGGTCTAGTTTAGGTCATTCTTCCAGCTCTGACCAACATGGTTCTGGATCTGGTCAGTCCTCTAGCTCTGATCAGCCTAGGTCCAGCTCAGGTCACTCTTCTCGCTGTGGCCAACACAGATCCAGTTCTGGTCAAAATTCTGGTCATGGTCAACATGAGTCAAGTCAGTCTTCCAGTCATAGGCAACATGGTTCTAGTTCAGGTCAGTCTTCTACCTGTAGCCAGCATGGTTCTGGATCGAGTCAGTCTTCTAGCTGTGGTCAAGACAAGTCAAGTCAGTCTTCCTCTAATAGGAAACATGGGTCTAGTTCAGGTCATTCTTCCAGCTCTGGCCAACATGGTTCTGGATCTGGTCAGTCCTCCAGCTCTGGTCAGCCTGGGTCCAGCTCAGGCCACTCTTCTAGCTGTGGCCAACACAGATCCAGTTCTGGTCAAAATTCTGGCCATGGTCAACATGCGTCAAGTCAGTCTTCGAGTCATAGGCAACGTGAGTTTAGTTCAGGTCATCCTTCTAGCTGTGACCAACATGGCTCTGGATCAGGTCAGTCTTCTAGCTGTGGACAACATGGATCTGTATCTCATGAGTCTGCTAGCTATGGACAACATGGATCGACTCAGTCTTCGAGCCACAGACAACATGGCTCTGGTAATATTCAGTCCCCTAGTCCTGTTCATCATGGGTCTGCATCAGGTCAATCTTCCAGCTGTGGCCAACACAGCTCTAGCTCCGGTCCGTCTTCCGCCCCTGGTAAAAATGAGTCAAGTCAGTCTTCCAATTCTGGGGACCACGGATCAAGTTCAGGTCAGTCTTCTACCTGTGGAAAACATGGTTCTGCAGCAGGTCATTCTTCTAGCTCGGGCCAAGACAAGTCAAATCAGTCTTCAAGACATAGACGACGTGGGTCTAGTTCAGGTCAATCTTCCAGCTGTGGCCAACACAGCTCTAGCTCTGGTCAGTCTTCTGCCCCTCGTAAAAATGAGTCAAGTCAGTCTTCCAATTCTGGGCAACACGGATCAAGTTCAGGTCAGTCTTCTAGCTGTGGGAAACATGGTTCTGCATCAGGTCAGACCTCCACTTATGGACAACATGGTTCTGCATCAGGCCATTCTTCTAGCTCTGGTCAAGACAAGTCAAGTCAGTCTTCAAGACACAGGCGTCGTGGGTCTAGTTTAGGTCAGTCTACCAGATGTGGCCAACATGGTTCTGGATCAGGTCAGGCCTCCACTAGCGGACAACATGGCTCTGGATCAGGCCATTCCTCTAGCTGTGGCCAACATGGATCTAGCTCTAGTCAGTCATCTGGCCATGGTCAACATGAGTCAAGTCAGTCTTCGAGTCATACGCGACAGGAGTCTAGTTCAGGTCAGTCTTCCACCTGTGGCCAACACAGTTCTGGAACGAGTCAATCTTCTAGCTGTGGTCAAGACAAGTCAAGTCAGTCTTCCTCTAACAGGAAACATGGCTCCAGTTCAGGTCATTCTTCCAGCTCTGGCCAACATGGTTCTGGATCTGGTCAGTCCTCTAGCTCTGGTCAGCCTGGGTCCAACTCAGGCCACTCTTCTAGCTGTGGCCAACACAGATCCAGTTCTGGTCAAAATTCTGGTCATGGTCAACATGCGTCAAGTCAGTCTTCGAGTCATAGGCAACGTGAGTTTAGTTCAGGTCAGCCTTCTAGCTGTGGCCAACATGGCTCTGGATCAGGTCAGTCTTCTAGCTGTGGCCAACATGGCTCTGGATCAGGTCAGTCTTCTAGCTGTGGCCAACATGGATCGACTCAGTCTTCGAGCCATAGACAACATGGCTCTGGTAACATTCAGTCCCCTAGTCCTGTTCATCATGGGTCTGCATCAGGTCAATCTTCCAGCTGTGGCCAACACAGCTCTAGCTCCGGTCCGTCTTCCGCCCCTGGTAAAAATGAGTCAAGTCAGTCTTCCAATTCTGGGGACCACGGATCAAGTTCAGGTCAGTCTTCTACCTGTGGAAAACATGGTTCTGCAGCAGGTCATTCTTCTAGCTCGGGCCAAGACAAGTCAAATCAGTCTTCAAGACATAGACGACGTGGGTCTAGTTCAGGTCAATCTTCCAGCTGTGGCCAACACAGCTCTAGCTCTGGTCAGTCTTCTGCCCCTCGTAAAAATGAGTCAAGTCAGTCTTCCAATTCTGGGCAACACGGATCAAGTTCAGGTCAGTCTTCTAGCTGTGGGAAACATGGTTCTGCATCAGGTCAGACCTCCACTTATGGACAACATGGTTCTGCATCAGGCCATTCTTCTAGCTCTGGTCAAGACAAGTCAAGTCAGTCTTCAAGACACAGCCGTCGTGGGTCTAGTTTAGGTCAGTCTACCAGCTGTGGCCAACATGGTTCTGGATCAGGTCAGGCCTCCACTAGCGGACAACATGGCTCTGGATCAGGCCATTCCTCTAGCTGTGGCCAACATGGATCTAGCTCTAGTCAGTCATCTGGCCATGGTCAACATGAGTCAAGTCAGTCTTCGAGTCATACGCGACAGGAGTCTAGTTCAGGTCAGTCTTCCACCTGTGGCCAACACAGTTCTGGAACGAGTCAATCTTCTAGCTGTGGTCAAGACAAGTCAAGTCAGTCTTCCTCTAATAGGAAACATGGCTCCAGTTCAGGTCATTCTTCCAGCTCTGACCAACATGGTTCTGGATCTGGTCAGTCCTCTAGTTCTGGTCAGCCTAGGTCCAGCTCAGGTCACTCTTCTCGCTGTGGCCAACACAGATCCAGTTCTGGTCAAAATTCTGGTCATGGTCAACATGAGTCAAGTCAGTCTTCCAGTCATAGGCAACATGGTTCTAGTTCAGGTCAGTCTTCTACCTGTAGCCAGCATGGTTCTGGATCGAGTCAGTCTTCTAGCTGTGGTCAAGACAAGTCAAGTCAGTCTTCCTCTAATAGGAAACATGGGTCTAGTTCAGGTCATTCTTCCAGCTCTGGCCAACATGGTTCTGGATCTGGTCAGTCCTCCAGCTCTGGTCAGCCTGGGTCCAGCTCAGGCCACTCTTCTAGCTGTGGCCAACACAGATCCAGTTCTGGTCAAAATTCTGGCCATGGTCAACATGTGTCAAGTCAGTCTTCGAGTCATAGGCAACGTGAGTCTAGTTCAGGTCAGTCTTCTAGCTGTGCCCATCATGGATCTAGCTCAGGTCAGTCTTCTAGCTACCGACAACATGTGTCCACTCAGTCTTCGAACCGTAGACCTCATGGCTCTATCTCAGGTCAGTTCTCCAGCTCTGGCAATGATGGGACTGGATTAGGCTCATCCTCTACTTCTACTTCAGGACAGTCATCAAGCTGTGGCCAGCATGGATCGAGCTCTAGTCAGTCTGCTGGCTATGGACAACAAGGGTCCACGCGATCATCTAGCCACAGACAACAAAGCTCTGGTTCAGGTCAGTCCTCCAGTTCTGGTCAATGTAAGTCAGGCTCAGGTCAGTGTTCTAGTGGTGAGCAAGAAAGTTCTGGTTCAGGTCAGTCTTCTAGCTGTGGCCAACATGTATCTAGCACTGGTCAGACTTCTGGCCATGGAAAACAGATGTCCACTCAATCTTCTAGACAGAGAAAACAAAGCTGTGGTTCAGGTCAATCCTCTAGCTCTGGTCAATGTGGGGCCAGCTCAGGTCACTCATCTAGCTGTGGCCAACATGGATCCAGCTCTGGTCTGTCTTCTGGCTATGGTTTACATGAGTCAAGTCAGTCTTCAAATCATAGGCAATACGGGTCTAGTGCAGGTCAGTCTACTAGCTGTGGTAAACATGGATCTGGATCAGGTCAGTCCTCTAGTGGTGGCCAACATGGATCTAGCTCTGGTCAGTCTTCTGGCTATGGCCCACATGGTTCTGGAACTGATCAGTCTTTTAGTAGTGGCCAACATGGATCTACCTCTGCTCAGTCATCTGCTTGTGGACAAGCTGGGTCCACTCAGTCTTCTAGCCATAGACAACAAGGCACTGGTTCAGGTCAATCCTCAAGCTCTGGCAAACTTGGTTCTGGGTCTAGACGGTCCTCTAGTAATGGGCAACATGGTTCTACTTCAGGACAGTCATCAAGCTGTGGACAAAGTGGATCTAGCTCTGGTCATTCTGGTCATGGTCAACATGGCTCAAGTCAGTCTTCCAGCCATCAACAACATGGCTCTGGCTCTGGTCGGTGTTCAAGTTGTGGCGACCGTGGGTCTGGATCAGGTCAGTCCTCCAGCTCTGGACAACATGGATCTAGCTCAGGTCAGTCTACTTATGGTCAACATGGCTCTGGTCAGTCTTGTAGCCACAGCCAATATGGGTCTGGCTCATTTCAGTCTTCCAGCTGTGGCCAACAGGGATCAGACTCAGCTCCATCCTCTACCTATGATCAACACTGGTCCAGTTCAAGCCATTCTTCTAGCCATAGCCAACCTAGTTCTGGCTCTGAAAAATATGGGGCTGATTCACGTCACTCCTCCACCTCTAGTCAACGTGGCTCCAGATCTCATCAGAATTCTGGCTCTGACCAGTCTGGATCTGGCTCATATCGTTCATCTTGCTCTGAACAAGGTGGTTATGGATCTGATCAATCTTCTAGTTATGACAAGCAAGAATGCCAAGGGAGAAGTAGGTCAAGTTCAAGTGGAACTCATGATGAATACAGTAGACCCAGAAGGGGCTCAACCCCCAATCAATCAAGGAGAAGTAGCCAGGAGTGGTCAGGGTACAGTCAAAATGAAAGAAGTGGCACCGATAGCCTTTCAGGTAGTGAGTCTGATGGATGTGAGAGTACCAATAGACCGTCAAGAACATGGAGTCAAGAAAGTCAAGGAAGCAGTCAGGGCCAGTGGGAATCTGGCTGTAGCCAGCCAAAGAGTATTCAAGGACAATCAAGAAGGGGTTCCACACAAGTAGGAAGCTCCTCAGGTTGTGGCTCTGGACAATTCACACCCTCCTCTGTACAGTCTACATCCAGATCTACCACTACACTAATTCGCAAGGAAGATAATTTACAAGGTGGCTACAGTTATCAGAGTGGAGGAGGTAACTATAGAAGGGGAAGTATCAGTACAAGTTCCCAAGGCTTCTCTAGTAGCACACCACTCTATGAATATGTCCAAGAACAGAGGGGCTACATTTAGAGATGGAGAGTAAACTCAAGTAGCAATGTAAACAATGTACTCAAGAAATGTACCACAAACAGTGTAGACAAAGCAATTCATTAGGAAACTTCTTTTCTAAAAGTACATATATCTGATCTGTTCTGTCTTCTTTAAACTTGGATCTGTGCTCTATCCTTATTATCACAGTGTTTCCAAAGAATGTAAGAAATACTGTTTGGATAATGTGTGGGACTAAATTTGGAAGTATATGAAAAAGGCTTTAAGGAACTTGGGGTTCAGTTAAGTTCTTTTTGAGAGTTCACTACTCATTACCAATGCCAAACCTAAGCTTACATCTTTAAAGGACAAAAAAATTATCATTTCATTACCATTTATGGACCAAATAATTTCTGGGGTGATGGCACATTTCAATGTTGTTAGGACAAAGATGATCCTAAAAGCAAAATATAGCAGTTGGTTTGCTTAACAAAACCACCAAGTCCCTACTCTTGGGTGTATTTTTGATCAGTAACCTAGCAAAAGGTATTAAAAAGTGACATGCAGTGCTGCTCACTAGCCAGTGAGTGACAGCATTATTTCTTTAAGAGCAGACATGGATCAGTTCAGGGTCCAAATTGGGGCTCTGATTTGGGTATGAAAGGGAAGAACTCAGGCCCTACTTCTAAGAATTTCCTCCAAGATGAAAAACTTTGGAAGCACAACAGCATGCAAACACAATGGCTCCAACCTACTTCTGTATTTCATTGGCCTTTCCACCAACAGGAAATACCCTTTGTGCCCAAATGGAAGAGAAGCATGTCTGTCACTGCCTATAGTTCCTTAGCTTGACTGTAACATATTTGTTTCACATCTTTGGTTCAAAAATCACTGGACTGTATTAAAGTTGGCAATAAATAATGGTGATAAAATACTGGTTTCTCTCATTTCTCTTCATTTCACTTCCACACACCAGTGGTCAGACTAGAAACCATCTCAAACACATCACTAGGATCCAATTTCCTGTTCTTCACAAGCAACTCGGAAAATATAAGTAATTTTTCAATCAATAAAACAACTCAACCTTAAAAGCAGCTAACGATTTAATAGATGGGAGACCAAAATGAAAGCTAGACTAAGGAAAATAATCACAGAAAAGGCCTCAAAGTTATCAGTCATTAGAGGATTACAAGTTAAACATAATTAAAACATAATAAGATGTACCCATTAGAATGTCAAAATTTTAAATGCTGGCAATACCATGACTGGTGTCAGTTGGCAAAATTAGAAGGTAGAGTTACTTTGAGATAGAGTACATTTTCTTATCAAGCCATATATACTTGACAAAAACCCAACATATACTCTTAGCTTAAATGGAAACATTTGCCCACGAGAAGATTTTTCACATAAATCTTCATAGCAGCTTTAATAAATACATCCCAAACTAAAAACATCCAACACTCCACCAAGCAATGAATAAAGGGAAAAAAACATACAATGGAATACAACTTAGCAAAGAAAAAAAAATGAGCTTCTGCTACACATGAAATGGATGAGTCTCAGAAACATTACCTTGAACAAAAGAAGTCAAATGCAAGAGTGCCTACTGTATGATGCTATTTTATGAATCATTAGTAAGACAAATATAAGATTAAAAGTGATAAAGGGTTGTCTTGGCCTGGGTATAGAACTTATAAATTGCCTAGTAAAAGGAACACAAGGCTATAAGGTGAGAGAATTATTCTACATGGAAACATGTTTTTATCAAAACATATACCATTGTGTATTTGAAATGTATAAAAAGTTGCATTTGTTTACAGTTTCCATGCAGCTTTTGTGAAACTGGACACAAAATTCTGAAACTTTTTATAGAAGGGTAAAGACTCAAAATTGTTAGAACAACGCTTAAAGAAGTAAAAGGAATGTCATCTTATCAGATATCAAAATAATTTAAAGTTACATAATTGAAGACAATTTAGCACTGATGTAAGGACAGTCATACACAAAATCCAGGTACATACTAAGGAATATCTGATATAGCTTTAATGGCTCTGCATATGCATATGGGGAAGAAAAAATGTCCAACTAATATTACCAAAATATTATTTTAGATATATCCATTTCATGCCACATACAAAATCAATTCCAAGAAAGTTCAAATTGACAGTGTAATCAGCCAACTTTTTTTTTTATACACAATCCATTGCTTTTATTTTTTTTAAATAATAAATTTTATTTTTATATTCCCCCATACAA